AAATTTTAAACACTATTTCTGTACATATTTTACGAGGTAACGCTGTCGATTTTTTTTTTTTTTTGTTCATAATTTTGATTTTGCAATGACAAATTAACCAATTTTTTCCCAAAAAATTGAGTTTTTCACTTCAAAGTCTTCAAAAAAATTAAAAAATTGCAATTTTCAAAAAACCTTCACAGCGTTACCTGGGGCGAACTATTATCTGACGAATGAATTTTCATTTTTTGATTACAAATGATCCAGCACCGAGTTATGAGGGGCACCGCAATTCAACTTTTTTTGGCGACACGTCCGGACAATTGCTACCATTGCCATATTTTTAAATATTTTTTTGTAAAAATTTGATAAAACATTCTTCTAATGTCAAACTTTAATATACCGTTGGTTGAATAAATAAATTTTAACTATGTCGTCAGGAAAAAAATCACAAAAACATGGCTTTTTTCGCATGATTTGACCTTACCCTCCCCTTAAACAATCAAAATTTGAATTAATTTTACAACTAGCCTTAAGCCAAATTCTATTTCTGCTACAATTCTATAACGCAACTAAAAGATGTCATTAAACTTTGTAAACACATCCCCAGATAATATTAAGCAAAACAACATTAGTATGTACGTTCGATCGATAATATTCACCGTTAGATAGGGTTATGAGATAGGTTATGCTAATTTTAGGGTTCTATATATTGAATAAAAATTGTATATAAAATGAATCTTGAGTAGTTCTCTCCTTTATTTAACCGTGCAGATGCTTCCACAGTCGTAGGGTATTAGGGGTCACCGGAGCCTAGCTCTGTAGGATGGTGATCATAGGATGGGCGGGAATATTGCGACCACGACAACATCTGTGGCATCGCTAAACTATGAGTTTTCTCGATCTCTTCCGGTTCTTTCATCTCTATTCTATCCTCTTTGAAGTTTATCCATCTTCTCTTCCGGTTACGATTCTCGCATTTTTTTTGTTGTCGTCAGCACACTCAATTCTGATCTTATAAAAATAATAATAGGTAGCTAGTATGCGGATTTGTCCAAGCAAGACCTCCACCCCCAAAGCAGACGAGCGAGAGCCGGACCCTATAGTGTGCACCCGCAAAGACAAATCCCAAAAATCTATAAAGACTTGTTCGTTACCCGCTACAAGTGTTGGTGTTCTACTTGGGACATTTATCATATCCCTACAAAGTGGACCAACATGCAAACACCAAGGGCACCCCCAACCGATGGAAAAGCGTCATATGTGACTCTTCCAAAATTCAATCCTGACAGCGCTGGAGCGGATGCTTCCTCTTGGTGTTCAACAGTTGATTTAATTTTTGCGGATAACGTGCTCGAGGGCATCACAGTGGCTTTTCCAAATTTGCTTTGCCGGCATCACTTGGGCGCAGTTCAAGGAGCTGTTTATACTACGCTTTGTTGGAATTGAGACTTCTGCCGCCATGCTATTAAATGTTCTGAATGGTCGACCAAAGCCTGAGGAGGGCTTCGATGAATACGGTAGCCGTATTGTGACGCAACTTATGTCAAAATGGAAAGCCAAGGATTTGGAAGAAATAGCGGTATCTGTGACTCTGGCTCACATGGCGCAAATAGACAATAAGTTTACGCACTGGGTTTTTACAAACAACGTGAAAACTCGCAATGAGCTACAACAACAGTTACACGCACACTCTTTCAAAAAGCGCAGTATAAACACGACTCAACAGGCACGAGGCGCAAGAAGTTCAAGTTTCCGACACCGATGAAATGCAATTACTGTGGAAAGGCTCGTGCTCGTCATGCTCGCTTGGAGAAGGGCCAGAGCAAAGAAAAAATCCACAGCGGCAGCAACATGCCTGGACCGAAAGATCGGTTAAGTGTTAAGTGGTTTAAGTGTGAAGAAATAGGAAATTTTGCATCCGCTTGTCCAAAAGGCCGAACGTATGAGAAGCGGGTAGATATCTGCATAGTAGCTCCATCGTCTAAAATAATAAGGGCATTCGGTGAGTCTATTCCAATTTGTTTTGTTTCGGGTGCTGAATGCTCTTAAGTGAAGGAAAGCGTCTTGGACAAATTTAAGGGAAAAATAATAAATAACATTGTAAAACTTAAGGGTATAAGTAATGATGCCATTTGTAGTACTCAGCAAGTATTATGTCATATAAATATTGAACAGTACTGCTTTGAAATTTTGTTACACGTAATTACGTTACACGTTACACGTAATCTGAAATACGATGTGTTGGTTGGTCGTGAAATCCTTAGCCTGGGCTTTGGAGTAACAATAGACGCCGACAAATTCCAAATTTATAAAACAACAAGACTCCATTTTTACTTTTTCTTTTAAAGCTAAAGGAGTGGGTGAAATCAAGAACAGGACTTTTGTCCGCAACTTTGTTTGTAAGCCAAATGAAATGCTCTCATTAAGTGAATGTATTTTATATTAAACATGAAAGCAAAGCTAACTTCGGGCGGAGCCGAAGTTTATATACCCTTGCAGTTAAAACCGGATATAAATCGCAAACATCGGATATAGTTGGCCGATCCTTATGATTACATCATAATAAAACAAATTAATTATAATAAAAATCTAAAAAATAAGTCCCAAGGTTCTATCTTCAAAAATACGAAAGTTGATATTTCCACGAAATACCATTTCCGATCGTTCAGTTATATGGCAGCTATAGGATATAGTCAGCCGATCCTAATGAAATTTGGTAGGTTGGATCAACTGACCAAAAGTATAATCTGTACTAAATTCCAGCTTTCTATCTTCAAAAACACGAAAGTTGGGTCATTTCCGATCGTTCAGTTATATGGCAGCTATAAGATATAGTCGGCCGATCTTTATGAAATTTGGCATGACGTAATGTTTTGCCAAAAATAGCTCTCATGTCAAATTTGAACTCTCCAACTCTAAAAACACCAAAATTATACCATTTCCGATCAATCAGTTATATGGCAGCTATAGGATAAAATCGGCCGATCCGGGCCGTTCCGATTTATATACTGCGTTCAAAGGAAAGAAGGGTGTGTGCAAAGTTTCAAGACGATAGCTTTAAATCTGAGAGACTAGTTCGCGTAGAAACGGACAGACAGACAGACGGACATGCTCATATCAACTCAAGAGGTGATCCTGATCAAGAATATATAAACTTTATAGGGTCGGAGATGTCTCCTTCACTGCGTTGCACACTTTTGGACAAAATTATAATACCCTCTGCAAGGGTATAAAAGGGGGTGGCATAAAATAATGTATAGAGATATTCCGAAATAAAAATTTAATGTTAAGAGTTTTAAAGGAATGCATATTTTAATGCAGGGGTGCCCAGTCCCATTGCTCTCGGTGATCCTTTGTTTTTGGAATTGCTCTTTCATTTGGGAAACGAAATTTCATATATGTACGTGTGTTACTCCCAGCATAGGCAAAGCCCAAATACAAAAACAATTTTTCGTGTTTTCCCTATTCTCCTCAATCGTCCTAATTCGAATGAATTTTGTTGTTGGAGTGCCGAAAACTTTTCACTGCAAGAAATTCATTCTTGTTTTTGTTTCTGTTAAAATGGTCGACCTGTAGCGATGAATTTGTTCTTCGCAGAACATTTTTTTTAACTAAGAAGCTCTGCATATTTGTCAAGTATAATAATAAGCTGTTTTAAAATATGTAGGGTCTTTTTTTAATTGCTGTAATAAAATGTATTTTTTATTATATTGATATTTTTAAACCCCTTGTGAATGTTACTATAATTTTATTTTTCAGTGCAGCCACATGGATGGGAAAAAAATTCTCGCACAAATGTATTGGTGATTTTTTGCATTGGTATAGGAGTTTGCTCTTCCGTATGCAGAGCTTGGGCGGTTTAAAGTTTAAACCACTGGTTTAAAGCATAGATGGGCAAGCCCATGGCTCCTCGGGCTCTCAAGGCTCCCCCCGTTATTCGTAATTTTTGGCGCCAGCAAATCGAGGCAGACGATCAAGTCGCGCGGTCAGTGAGCCGTGAAGATTTACAAAAACAATGCTACATAAATTCGTGGTTCGAGTTTGCAACAACAATTATTAAGGTTTCGTTTGCGCACAACGCGACGACTACCATCGCGAGGGTGGTGGTTGTTATTGTAATATGTTGTCTGGCCGAGCTGCGGCTCCGACCGTTAGAATTCGTGCCCATCTATGGTTTAAGGGGTTATATACAGTTGTATCGCGCAAAAAAAAATGGAATTTTATCGATTTTTTTTTGACACAACAGAAAATATTTATGAAAAAAGTTTTACCGAAGTTGTTTAGTACACGTTTCTGGGTACTTAATTAAATATTTTCATAAAAAAATATTACATAATAAAATAGCCGAATTCCCGGATCGACTTTTTTCGATGGTGTCTTGCGGTGGACATGATATCCCGAAAACGGTTCATCTGAAATCCAAACTTCAAAAAAATTTTGTTAGTATATTGTATTGTCTAGTCCGTGAACGAGAAATTTTTAAAAATTTTGATAAAAAACAATAAAGGAAAGCTAACTTCGGGCGGAGCCGAAGTTTATATACCCTTGCAGTTAAAACCGGATATATATCGCAAACATCGGATATAGTTGGCCGATCCTTATGGGAATAGGAATATATAATCCAATTTATTACAATGCAAAATCTAAAAAAAGTCCCAAACTTCTATCTTCAAAAATACGAAAGTTGATATTTCTATCAAATACCATTTCCGATCGTTCAGTTATATGGCAGCTATGGGATATAGTCGGCCGATCCTAATGAAATTTGGTAGGTAAATTTGGAATCTATCATTTATCACAAGTGTATATAACCCCTTAAAGTTCCTGTAGTGACATAGCTAGAAAGGTTGGAATAATAACGATCCCTACCATTTGCGGTATCTAAAAAGACCAAAATTATTCGAGGTCAAGGGTAACATGGAATCATAGTTTTCTTTTTTAATTAAAATAAATATTTGTTTTCGTGAAAAAAGAACACATTTTTAATATTTTTTTAAATAATTATTTTATATAAGCCTATTATAAAAACAAATATAAATGCTACGTATTTATTACTAATTAAAGCTATATAATGTAGTACTTAGGTTATATAGGAAAACATATTTGTTGTTTTTATTGTAGCTATGTTTGATGATGTCGTCGGTCTCGGGCCCGCTCTATATGTCTTCTCCTTTCATCCTTTGTCCAATAACGACCAATTTTAACTTCTGAGATTGTTTCCTCTTCAGTAGCTAGCTCACATCCTCGAATATTTTTTTGAAGTGTACGATTACGCACCGGTCGTTTTACAATGTATCGAGATCCATCTGCACGTCGCTTAACTTTCCAAACCATAGATTTTTCGTCCCCATCTTTTAGTTTAATTAGTTCAGGCGCATTGGTTGAACTTATAGTATCTTGGACTTTGTTCGCAACCTAAAATTAAATAAACTTATTAAAATACACTTTTAAAATGAATAAACAATATTTTCAAAAAACTTTTTAGCTGTTTTTCTTTATAAATAAAATCCATAATTTATGCATAAGTCCGGTCTTAACTGCAAGGGTCTATCAACTTCGGATCCAAAGTTAACTTTTCTTTCTTTTTATATCCTTGCAGAAGGCATTATAAATTTGGTCAAAAGTGTGAAAGAGACATCTCCAACCCTATAAAGTATATATGTATGTATATTCTTGATTAGAATCACCTCCTAAGTTGATGTAAGCATGTTCGTATGTCCGTCGTTCTGCCTGTTTCTACGCAAACCAGTGGCACACACTCTCTTTTCTTTGCACGCAGTATAAGACGGAACGTCGACGGATCCGACAAGAATGGAAAACTAACTTAGAGCGGAGCCGAAGTTAATATACCCTTGCAGCTAAAACCGGATTAGTATCGCTAAAATCGGACAAAGTTGGCCGATCCTTATGATATTATCATAATATAACCAATTTATTACAATACAAAATCTAAAAAAAAGTCCCAAAATTCTATGTTTAAGAACACCCAAGTTGGTATTTTTTAATTTTATTTTTATTTTTGCGGTCTTTCAGAATTTGGAAATGGCTTGTGCATCAATTAGAGCATCAGCTAGCATTCCTGTATTCATCATTAAGCTTAGAGGCCCAGACGACCGAGGGGCGCTCGAGAAACGATTTGTTAGTACATATTATGCTATTTGAAATTTGTTAAGCTAAGAGGAGTTAGTAAGATAGTTTAAAATTCTATATTTTAAATTAGAGGGACAGGAAAGAGATTTAATAGAGTACAGACCATTGTTGTTCGAATATAATACCCTAAAAGGGTCATGCAGTGCATATGTCGAACTACAATGGCTAAGGAACAGAGGACTAAAGTTTCGAAAAAAGTCCTTCTATTAGGAATGTTAAATTTTAAACGTGTTAGTAAATGCTGGCTATCTACATCCCCTTTAATAAGGCTATGCAGAAAAACTACACCGATCATTGTCCTACGATTTGTTAAGCTAGGTAAGTTTATAAGTAAAAGTCTGCTACTGTAGGACGGAAGCTGAAGATTTGCATCCCAGTATAGACCTCTAAGTGCAAATATTAAAAAGGTCTTTTGTTCGGATTCTATGCGCTCCTTATGTACTCCATATTGGGGACTCCAGACACATGAACCTTACTCCAGTACAGGACGGACCAAAGAAATTAATAGTGTTTTGGTTATATAGGGGTCATTAAATTCTTTTGACCACCTTTTGATAAAACCAAGGAGTCCTTTAGCCTTATTAACCATTAAGAGGAGGGTAAGGTATTAATTTTTTTTTTTTTTTTTCATTTTTTTTTTTATTTTTTAAATTGAATGCATAATACTTGAAGAATATTGTGTCAAAATTTCAAGTCAATTAAAGACGAAGTTATTAGTTATTGACGAAGTTGCTTATAAACGTTTTACACTGGATTTTTTTGTGTTTAAAACTTTAAAGCGTTTTTCCCACAACTCACGTTTTCAAAGTCGGTGCCCCTCATAACTTCAAAACTACTGCACCGATCCTTTTTAAATTTTAAACACTATTTCTGTACATATTTCGATTTCGCAATGACAAATTAACCGATTTTTTCCCAAAAAATTGAGTTTTTCACTTCAAAGCTTTCAAAAAAATTAAAAAATTTCAATTTTCAAAAAACCTTTACAGCGTTACTTGGGGCAAACTATTATCTAACGAATGAATTTTCATTTTTTGATTACAAATGATCCAGCACCGAGTTATGAGGGGCACCGCAATTCAACTTTTTTTGGCAACACGTCCGGACAATTGCTACCATTGCCATATTTTTAAATATTGTTTTGTACAAATTTTATTAAACATTCCTCTAATGTCATACTTTAATATACCGTTGGTTGAATAAATAAATTTTAACTGTGTCGTCAGGAAAAAAATCACAAAAACATGGCTTTTTTCGCATGATTTGACCTTACCCTCCCCTTAAGGAAATATGGTCGGCAAATTTAAGTTTGATGTCTAATAGGATGCCGAGATCATTAACCTGGGTTAATTTTTCTAAGGCAATCCCATTATTGGAATAAATAGCTTGAAGAACGATAAAAAGACATATGCTTGCATTTTGATCCATTAAGTATTAGATCATTAGCTAAACACCATTATGAAAGTTATCAAGGGTCAGACTGAAGACTGCATTGGGTAGAGATGGATTTGTACTAAAGACAAAGCTTTACATCATCTGCATACATAAGAACTAGAGAGTTCGTTAAAGCAGAGGGCAAGTGGTTTATAAAAAGCGTAAATAATAACGGGCCAAGATGACTTCCTTGAGGGACGCCAGATGTAGCACGGAGCAGACGGGACTGTATGTTTTTAAATAAGACTCTTTGTGTCCTTCCATCGAGTTAACTGGAGATCCACGTTGAGGTCTTTAGGAAACCCCAGCATATTCAGTTTACTCAACAAGAGTGAGTGATTAACTGAATCAAATGCTTTGCTGAAGTCTGTGTAAATTACATCGGTTTGATATCCCTTACAAAAGCCATCTATGACAAAGGATGTCAACTCCAATAAGTTAAAGTTAATAAAGCCATGCTGACAAGGAGTGATAATCGAAGAGCAAAGGTGTTGCAAATGAGGGGTAATTAATTTTTCAAACAACTTTGGAACTACCGACAACTTAGAGATGCCTCTGTTGTTGGCAGCCTCGGACTTTTTCCCTTTTTTTATGTAGGGGAATTATGAATGATTCCTTCCACTTAAGGGGAAAAATCGAGGTTTCCAAAGATAAGTTGAAAAGTCTTAGAAGAGGTTTGCACAGAGCCCTGGCGCAGTATTTTAGCACACAGCCTGGTACTCCGTCGGGGCCTGGCGAATAAATGGGTTTTACCCTTAAAAGACCAGATAATAAGTTTTTCTCAGAAAAAAACGGACAGAATATAAGATTTGCTGTTTGAATGTTATATGCGTAAGGCTGATCTGTCAATTTAGGCGGAGAATAAGTTGTTTGAAAAAATTCTGCGAATAGATCGGTAATGGCCTGATCTGAGGTCGCAGAGGAATTTTCAAACGTAAGCAGGGGTAAAAAATATACGTGATTACGCTTAGGGTTTACAAAATTATAAAACTGCTTTGGATCCTGAGTGAATTGTATCCAGCAGCGGTCAATATAATTCCTATAACATTCCGCGTTATGCACGGTAAAATTCGACCAAGCTAGTAGGTATCTTGAAAAATCAACACTACTGCAGGTTTTTTTATATTTTAGTAAGAGCCTATTTTTAATATTTTTTAGGTTAGTGAGGCACCTTCTATACCAAGGAGGACTTGTTGAAGCGGACGGATATTTCCATGGCACACATGAGTCAAAAAATTTATTTAAAGTACAATAAAATTTTTCTAAGGTCACGTTAAGATCAGTGCATGCCAGAATATCGGACCAGTCATATGTATCGATATGGGTATTAAGTTTGTGAAAATCACCTTTACGGAAACAGCAAATCTTATTTGCCACGCATAGAGATACCTGATCGATACCAGGAATAGTTTCGATAGAAACATAGTTTAATAAACATAGTTTAGGCTATCACGTAAGAATAAGGAGCTTAAGAATAAGAAGCGTCATCAAACTAAGCTTGACCCTAAATTTAAAGAGCCGTTTGAGATTGTCAAAATGGAGATAGATATCTGGTACTTGAAGTCCTTAACAAGTAAGCGAACTTACAAATATTTCCATGAATTCTAAAGAGCTTTGCTGAACAAACAGCTAATACGCGAAGATATAGACGGCACGATGGAAGATGCGTCTGACAATAAAAAACAATAAAGGAAAGCTAACTTTGGGCGGAGCCGAAGTTGATATAACCTTGCAGTTAATACCGGATAAATATCGCTAAAATCGGATATAGTTGGCCGATCCTTATGAGTATATGATAATATAACCCAATTTATTATAATATAAAATCTAAAAAAAAGTCCCAAGCTTCAATCTTTAAAAATACCATAGCTGGTATTTCTACCAAATATCAGGTCTATGCATATGAAACTGCGTTTTTTTTACTACTTTGGAGTATTATTAAAAATAAATGGTGACAATTTCAATCTTGAAAGTACGCCCCTTCAGAAGCCACACATTTTGCCCATCTTTCGGCCAATTTATGAATTCCTCGCCAGAAGAATTCCTTTTCCTTGGACCCAAACCAGTCTTCTACCCAATTTTTCAGGTCTCCATAGGAATCGAAGCGCTGGTTGGCTAATCCGTGTCCCAAACTGCCGAACAAATGGTAACCTGATGGAGCCAAGTCTGGTGAACAAGCCGCATGGGGTAAGGACTCCCAGCCAATCGTGGCTACCAATTCCTTGGTGTCTCGTGGACGATGTGATGGCGCGTTGTCGTCCAAAAAAATGGGTTTGAGCTGCCTTTTTGCGTATTCGGAGCAGAGTTTCTTTCAATTCTTCCAATTGTTGCTGGTAGCGTTCGCCAACAACGGTTTCACCCGGTTTAAGGAGCTCATACCAAACGATTCCGGCCTGATCCCGGAAAACGCTCAGCATGGCTTTGCGGCCGAAACGGTTAGGCCGATATTGGGATTGGGTCGGTTGGCCTGGGCTAACATAGGATTTTTTTCATTTGGGGTTTTGAAAATAGATCCACTTTTCATTTCCAGTGACAATGCAATGCAAAAACGAGAATTTTCAAGAGAATTTCGCATGTCATTTTTCGATGTCCGCAAATAGTGCTTTGTGGGTATTAAACTCGACATTTTCAATATTGGAAAAAACTCGCAAATAACGTTTAAGCAGTGTTCCTAGATGTCAAAAGTTGCTAAAAAAAATTTTCACCAACAATTTTCGATCACTTTTGTTACCGATAATTAACAATAAAGTAAAACGCAGTTTCATATGCATAGACCTGATACCATTTCCGATCGTTCAGTTATATGGCAGCTATAAGATATAGTCGGCCGA